ACTGATTCCTATAGGTAGGAAGTTTTATGACAAAACCGATGCTTCACCTTTTGTAGTGCATGTACAGAGAGAGCAAGATTCATCATCAGACGGAATCACAATGCATCCCATGTCGTTTGGTAAATTTCTCAAACAAAACTCTTTTTACAATATAATTAATGGAAGTGTAAAAAAGATTGGGCGAAATAAAATGCAAGTTTCGTTCTCAAAATTTACTGATGCAAATAATTTCATCAATCATAGTAGTTGGTCAAAAAATAATTTAAAAGCATATATTCCAACATTTAACATTACACGAATGGGTTTAGTTAGAGGTGTCCCTGCAGAGTGGTCTCTGGAGGAAGTTAAAAGTAATATTTCTGTTCCCATAGGTTGTGGTGAAATTCTGAAAGTAAGGAGACTAAATTATAAATCCTTTGTAGATGGAACTCCTACCTGGAAGCCATCCCAAACTATAGTTTTAACCTTTGATGGCCAAATTTTACCAAAACGAATTTTCATGTGTTACAATGCACTCAATGTGGATCTGTATATATTTCCTACAATCCAATGTTATCACTGCTGCCGTTTCGGACATACTAAAGTTCAATGTAGATCTAAACCTAGATGTTTTAAATGTGGTCAAAATCATACAGGTGACTCATGCAATATCACAGAGGAAGATGCACTCTGCTGCTGGTGTGATGGGCATCACTACGCCAATAATAAATCCTGTCCGGAATATGTTAGGCAATCCCAAATAAAATTATACATGGCACAAAACTGTGTATCATACGCAGAAGCATCAAAATTACTTCCACCCATATCTAGGTCCTATGCTGATACTTTAATGACCCCTTCCACAAAAATAGTAAATGAACCTATGATTAGTAATTTATCTAATAGTAACATAAACCACACAACATCTTATAAAAAAACTATTTTTAAGAAACCGCGTAATATGCCTGCATTTTCAAAAGGCTATGATACCATAGCCCATACTATATTGAAGGAATTTGCAATTCCTACCCCTAACAATGGCTGTGGTCTTAGTACAAATGATGACAGAACATCCTCAGTGAATCAACTCCCTCCTGATTTTATTACTGCTCTCTTCAATGTGTTTACTCAATTCAATATCCTTCCACCGTCCAACACTGCTCAGATTACTAAAAATAACATTCAATTCATCAATGGACAGACAAGATAATACAGTGGAACTGCCGTAGTGCCTTAAGCAAAAAAAATGAAATTATTCATTTAATAAATAAATTTGAGCCTTCTGTTTTAGCCTTGTCTGAAACATGGCTTACATCTCAAAGAAATTTTAAAATTAATGGTTATCATACTATTAGAGAAGATAGAATGGATGGCTATGGTGGAGTAGCCATTCTAATTAAAAATGGTGTTATTTATGAACCCATTACCTTAATAAGACATAGTGAAGAAATTTCAATGATAGCAGTGAAAGTTCATAACATACGTTTAGTATCTATTTATTTATCTCGCCCATCATCTCCAATTTTTAATGAAATAAATAACATGTTTTCATCTCTCCCTAAACCCTTTCTAGTACTAGGAGATTTTAACTGTCACCATCAAGCATGGGGATGTACAGTTACTAACAATTATGGTGAAAATTTGTTAGATATAATGGAATCACATAACTTATGCTTTTTGAATACAGGTTCCCCCACTCGCCTCACCAGTCCTAACCTTAATGCAAGTGCTGTGGACTTATCAATCTGTACTACAAATCTAGCTTCTTCCTTATCTTGGCATACTCTTCCTTCTGCATATGGAAGTGACCATTTTCCTATTATTATATCTTTACCCTTTAAAAAGCCTCATAACTTTAGATGGAAAACCACAAGAAGATATAATTTACCAGATAAAAAATCTAATGACTGGAATAAGTACAAATCTTCTGTTGAAAATAAATTATCATCTCTCCCTATTATCACTCCCGGTAATGAAAACAGTTGTGCAGAGGCATTAGCTAGTATTTTAAATGAAGCTGCCATAGAATTGTTTCCTATTAAAAATAACACCCACATGAAAATACCATCTCCTCCTTGGTGGGACAAGGATTGCTCTGAGGCTGTGAGGAAGAGAAAGCAGGCAGAAATCATGTACAATACTAATATGACAGAATTTAACTATGATAACTTAAGTAAAGTAGTTGCAGAAACTAAAAAATTATTTAAAAAGAAAAAATTCGAAAGCTGGAGACATTTTTGCAGTTCTATTTCACCAGACACGCCCGCTACCCTGGTCTGGCGAAACATAAAAAGATTTAAATCCGCCTATAATACTTCCTCTCCTGTCACTATGCCTCCTGCAATAGTTAACGATTATATGGACAAATTGGCCCCACCGTGGACTCCCATGGTTTTACAATTGAGTAGTAGCTCTGGATTGAATCGTCCTTTCTCCCTTCAAGAACTTAAGAGTGCTGTTTTCGACTATAAAGATTCTGCCCCTGGGGCAGACGGAATTCCGTATTCGTTTTTCGCAAATGTTAGTGATAACATCTTAACCTATTACTTGCAGCTTATCAACACTATCATGATAACAGGTGACATACCTCTGTCATGGAAGTCACAAATAGTGTTGCCCATACTCAAACCTAATAAACCACCATCACATGCATCTTCATATCGTCCAATAGTTTTAGCAACTGTTTTAATTAAACTAGCTGAACTTTTGATAAAAAATCGCCTTGAATGGTATTTAGAAAGCAGAGGCATGCTATCCAAAACACAATACGGATTCAGAAAAGGAAAAAGTACAATGGACAATTTAAGTATTTTATCAACTGACATTCGTCTGGCTTTCACATATAACGAATCCGTAGTAGCAGCATTTTTGGATATAAATTCTGCATATGATCACGTATTATTATCAGTTTTGAAAAGTAAACTAGAGATACTAGAGGTTCCTCAAATGTTAACAAATTTTATTATGAATATACTAGCCGAACGAAAATTAATAATTAGCTTACCGAATAGTCTTGAAATACAAAGAACTGTATGGAGAGGCTTGCCCCAGGGATCAGTTCTTAGTCCTTTACTTTACAGTGTATATACTCACGATTTTGACACTTTATTTGAAAATAATATCAAGTTGTTGCAATACGCTGATGATCTATTGATTTATTCTACAAACCGTCACATAGATAATTCTTCTTTGCATATTAACTCAGCTTTACGTTCTTTGAGTTCTTGGATGAACGATAACGGTCTAGAATTATCTGCTTCAAAGAGTACTATTGTAATATTCTCACGAAAGAAGAATCCCCCTTCCGTTAGAATTTATTATAATAATATATTAATTCCCATTGAACCCCAAGTAAAATTTCTGGGAGTCATGTTGGATTCCAATCTTACCGGTAGTGCACATTGTGATTTTATTATAAGTAAAACTGAACGACTTTTAAATCTTCTCCGATGTCTTTCAGGAGTTTGGTGGGGGGCCCATCCGCAATCCTTAAAACTAGTGTATAATGCATTAATCCGAAGTGTACTGGACTACGGAAGTTTTCTCCTAGAACCTGCCAATTCTACTGCACTGAAAAAGCTAGATAACGTTCAGTCGAAAGCGTTACGAATAATAACTGGTGCTATGAGATCCAGCCCAATTAATGCATTGCAAATTGAAACTTGTGAGCCCCCACTTAACATTAGACGACAACTTCTTGCTGACAGATATCTATTCCGTTTACTTCAATTTTCCAACCATCCTCTTATAAATCTACTTTGTTCTTTGAATGAAGAAATAACATCAGCAAGTTACTGGGCACATAAATCTCTCCCATGTTTGATAGTTAGTTATCGAAAGTATATAAGTATACAATCACCTATACACCGATCAAACCATCTTCCCATTTTTACTATTGATTATGATGCCTTAGAAATAGCACCAACTATTCAATATGATTTAATTGATAAAAACCATGCACACCCAAGTATAACCTTCAAATCAATTATACATACTGAATATGACGACTTTCATCATATATTCACTGATGCTTCTAAGTCCTCTCCGTCTGAGTGTACAGGTGTAGGAGTATTCCACTCTCAGTTTTCTATTGTCCAAAAAACTAAACTTCCTCCGGAGACATCTGTTTTTACCGGAGAATGTATTGGTTTATTAAAGGCTGTTGAATATATCTTTGTTATGAAACTGCGAAAAACTGTAATATTTTCCGATTCAATGAGTGCTCTTCAAGCCCTAAATAAATTCCCTTTCCGTACTAAATCATATTTTCCTGTAATATTTGAGATAAGGAATTTTCTAAATAAATTCATAAAAATGGGATACATGGTAGAGTTTGCATGGCTCCCGAGTCACAGTGGAATTCAGGGAAATGAAAAATCTGACCAGTTAGCCAAAGAGGCAGTGCATTGTGGTGACGTGGTTCCTTATAAATGTTATAGCCAGGACTTGCTATCTCTCTTACAAGTTGGACAAGTAGTGCACAAATAAAAGGAAAATACTATTTTACAATACAACCTACTATTCCTTTAAAGCCATGGTTTCGTAAAGCTAAACTGGGTAAGACTGCTACTAGCATATTAACGCGCATGAGGCTTGGACATGTTACTACACCAGCACATCTCTCTAAGCTTGGAATTGTCAGCGATCCTGCTTGCGGGTGCGGAATGGACACAGGGGATCTTAACCACATCCTGTTTTCCTGCCCTCTATACAATCGATATATTTTTTTAAATGGCCTCATTTCTTTAGATGTTCCTTTTCCAACATCCGTAATAACCCTACTCTTCTCTAATAATTTACAGATTTATAAATGTATAGCATCTTTCATAATGTTAAATAATATTAGAGTGTAATCATCTCTATTCGTATTTTATGTATGTATATTTATATAAATATACCAATACTGTCTCCTGATCCTATCCTCTAAATTTCGATCCAAAATGCATAAATTTCCTACTAATGTTTCCCTACCTTTGACACTGGCAATGCACAAATCGTGTCGTGCCATTAAAAAAAAAAAAGTTCTTTGTTTGGTATAAGGTTATGTTAATATTCACTATTGGACATTTGGCTAAATTTCTGTATAAAACGGAGAAAGCCACAGAAAAAAAAAAGTTTAATATTTTTCTCTAGTTTTTGCGACTGGTGTGTTTGTGTACAAGATATTTAATGTCTTTTCAATTCAACTTCTCGGGAAAACAGGATAATCATAATGAACCTGGTAAGTTTTAAATAACAATATATTTTAAGGTCCTTAGTATTACTTGTTCTATGTTATTTCTAAACTAATGGATTCAAATTGTATTTAAATCCCAGTTGAAACAAACAATGAAATTCAATGGTTCACATGCGAAGAAGTAGTACCAGATCAGCAGATGATTCAAAAGTTGGACGATCATGTTAAACAGGCTAGAATGTTTACCTGTGGTGATGTCGAAATTGGTCATGTAGTCGTAAGCGATGCTATTTCCAATATGAGTAGTAAGTCTCTGCAAATGGCCTCTAAGCTCATTATAGATGTTAAAAGTGATCTTATAACAGGACAATATGAAGGTCAGTACTTTCTTAATTTAATAATATGTTGTTCATCAAAGACCCAGTAAATCAAGAAATGAGTTTTTATTACAAATCTACTTAGTTTTTCGTCTATTGAAATCCATCCATGAGTTTTCATAAGAGTTAATTTGTGTAATCAACTCATTTCACTTTACTGGGTATTCGCTGAAAAACAATGAATTTTCTTTATTGCATTAGTAATAAATAGGTATTTATATTCATGCTGCTCGTTTATTTATTTACTCTTTAAGAAAACATGCAAATATTGTGTTGTTTAAAACAGGTGGACTCAAAATATGGGAATGTACTAGTGATCTAATACAATATTTAATTCATAATGAAAATAAAATAAACTTTATTAACATTAATGTATTAGATCTTGGCTGTGGTGCTGGCATATTAGGAATATATTCATTTTTAAAAGGGGCAAATGTTACATTTCAGGATTATGTGAGTATCATAATATTAAAAATAATAAGATTCAAAAGTATCAACTGACCAAAATTAGCACCTTTGTTTATTGATAGTTGAGTATTCTAAAGTCTCCATTGTGAAAACTGTAATTTATTTTACATAGAATTTATCATCACAATTTACAGTACTATTTATTACATTCCAATATCTTTACCTAATTTTCAATTTTATATATTTATATTTTTGACACTATGCAATTTAATAATTTAATTTTATCAAATGTTGCAGAATAAAGAAGTATTACAATATGTAACAATACCAAATGTACTACTTAATATTGAAGATGAAGAAGAAAGAAATGAGAGAGTAAAGAAATGTTTTTTTTATTCTGGTGATTGGGCATCATTCAACAAAACATTAGATAAAACCACATCTTATGATTTGATACTTACTTCAGAAACTATATATAATGAAACAAATTATGGCAAATTAATAAAACTCTTTGAACAGAGATTAACTGCTAATGGGTCCATTTATGTGGCTGCAAAAACTTGTTATTTTGGGGTAGGAGGAGGGATAAGACAGTTTGAAAAAGCCATTATTGAAAGCAGTTTATTTCAATGTGAAGTTACCTGGAAAACTACAAGTGGCATTCAAAGAGAAATATTAAAAATAACTAAAAAGTGACTTAAGGTTTTATTTTATTAAACATCTTTATATATTAAAACATATTCATTTCCTCTGTTTATTCTCTTGAGAATGACTGCTAGTTTTGATTAAACTTGAAGCAGTGGCAAGTAGGTGCTCATCAAGAAAAAATGTTCCCTGCAGTTTATTTTTGAAACAACTCTTGTTAAAATGAATCATGCTATTATTTAAAATCACACTTGGCAAAAATTAACTAATTATAATTATGAGTAAAAGCAAAAACGTACAATATGATATTGACTTAAATTTTTTAACAAATATTCAAAATACTTTTAGTTTGTGATCTAATACACAATTTGTTATCTTATTTCTATGGAAGACATTAACTTGTTATGAATAATAAGATGCAAGAAATAAAAGTATTAAGGTGAAAGTCTTTCATAAACCCATCCATCTTCACCTTCATGTAGTAATTTTCCATCAATAAACTCTCCCTCTGAAAGTCTTCGGAATCTGATTCTATCATGCAAGCGATCACGCTGACCCTGCCAAAATTCTATTACTCGGGGTCTTATGATATATCCTCCCCTAAAAGAATATTTAAAATATAATCCTTTAAACAGAAAAAAAGAGAAACAGCAATTTGGTCTATAACGTTGTAATCTTAATTGGGCTAGTCTATGGGGGCTTCTAAAAACATGGGGTTATTCCTCACCCTCAATCAAGGCAACTTGGCAACTGATATTAAAAATATATTTTAAAATTCTCACCAGTGATTGGGTTTTGGGATTTCTTTTCCAGGGATCATGTACTCTGCCTCTAAGACTGATTCACGTTCACATAAAATATCTCTGGATTCAATAGGAGTACTTTGGTGACTTGCACTAGCAGCTATCTGGCTTGGGACAGGACGAGAGTGAAAGTATGTGGTAGACTCTTCATCTGACAATTTTTCAACATTACCTTCAATCCTAACAGATCTATTCAACACTTCCCAATAAAATGTTGCTGCAACATTGGGATTCTCATTCTGAAAATAATTATATCATTACCTATACATTAATAAGTGTACTATAAAAATTGTCAGGAAACATCCAAATTCATACCATCTCTTTGGCTTTTCTGCTATCGTAATTAGTAAAAAACTTGTAACCATCTTTACCATATCCCTTACACAGAACAAAACGAGCAGAAGGAAGTCCAGCTCTGCAAAAAAATTTTTTGTCCTAAAAGGTTTTTAAAAAAATTTAAACCTATGAAGATAATCTTTTCTAAATTTATAACCGTTTTAAACTTACTTCGAGACTGTAGCTAAGCACATAGCATTTGGCTCAAGAATTTCTTTCCTATTACAAGCTTCTTCAAACCAAACCTTAAATTGTCCAAAAGGCTCTTTGGAGACTAGATGTTTCTCAAGGAAGGTCTCATCCTTATCTTTGTATTTTATTCTCATGCCTGGAAATACAATCAACACGAAGTGAAAGTTACTTTATAATTTTGCAAAAACAAGTCAAACTGAATAGTCATAATTAATATTATTATGGCTTTTTAACTAACAAAATATTTGTAAAGATAACAAAGTTCAAAGTACCTCCAATGTCAATACTCATTTTGCGTAAACTAAGATAGTTGAGGTCTTGCTTCAATAGCCAAACTGAAGAATATTTCACTGTATTTAAAACGTTTTGTAACATGTAAGTGGAGTGGTGATGATTCCAACCAAATTAAGGAGAATGACTAGATCACTCGGTAACAGGTTTTTATAGATGACTGGCAGTGAATCGAGTCGAGACGAGACTGAGAGAGAATCTGTAATCTCACAATTTTATAAAAACGGAGTGATGATTATTTACTCTGTCGGTGCTCATACTCATAATCTGAGGCCACAGACTACATAACTTAGGTTAGGTACTCTTGTAGTCTTGTACAGACTTCAAGTTTAGTTATGTTGAGTGAGCAGTAGTGCCAGGTCCAATTTTAAAAAATCGGGAGGCTTTGTAGAAAAAAACAGTAGATGTATGAAAAGAACTACAAGAAAAACAGTAGATGCAGAGACGTACTTTTTCCGACTTTTTGGCGGCTTCTGCCACCGACAATTACATTTATTTTAAAATTATTTAGGTTACCTACATTAATACAAGCGGAAAATGCAACTTAACATGCAATTTAAATAAGAAAATCGTATTCTAAGAAAAACAGTAGATTCGTGTAGAAAAACAGTAGAACAGTAGAAATTTCAGAAAAACAGGAGATTTCTTGTAAAATCTGGAGACCTGGCAACACTGTGTGAGTGACTCGTTTGTGCTTTTTAATCTGTGTCCATGATAAGGGTACGGCCACAGTGCACACAGGTTCAGAATCAGATTCAGACAGAAAACAAGTGCGAGAAATAAACAGTGGTTGCTTTCCAATTACAGCAACGCTTCGCACAATTGAGCACTCTCAAAAGTGATGCTTTCGTGTGATGCTTGCAATCGTACCAACTTAGAGACAGAAAATTAACAAGTGTTTTTTCTTTAAGTTGGCATTGATAGAAATGTTTTATTTATATGTTATCGTTTGTAATATTATTTATTGTTGAAAAATTATTAAAGCTTTCGTTTCATTAAATAGTTTTTTTTAAATAATCAAAGTTCATTGAAACTGTTAAAAAATAAATATATGTATGGATGAAGGTACAAACATTGACTTTTTTTTTTCAACACTGAACTTAGCGCACTCTGCTGGTGCATTTGAAAACTAATTCACGTTCTAATTAAGCATCAGCACAATTGGGCATTGTGCGGCACTGAGTCGCATTATGCTCTGTAATTGGAAAGCAAACAGTGTAGTTTAAGCAGGTTATTTGTCGCTCTTGTTTCTTGAGTCTGAATCTGCGTGCACTGTGGCCGTACCCTTAGGTTGGTAGGGACCGGGACAAACTGAGCCCACCAGTGGAATTTTTGGGGGGATTTAATCAAGTGCGGCTGGCGTCTTATTTTAATTATTCTTAAATTCGTTCATAGCGGATATTGTGAAATAAAATTGGTGTGATTTTTTGTTACAACCGTCTGCACAACTGAAGAATTAGTGGAATCTTTAAAATATACGTTATTCCGGTCAAGTGGACGTGGGAACTTTATTGTAGTGTTGACTACCTCACAGAAGCTTAACGAAAAACCAACTTGATACATTTTGTGTCAAACACTGCAAAAAACATTAGAATGCGTCACACCGACATTCTAATGTAAAAAAAAAGGAAATTAATAAAACTTAAGACTAGGCTGTATGGGCATTTTTCCCTTTGTCTTCCCTGAAAAGGGAGAATATAAAAAAAAGTGAGCCCACCAGTGTTGCCATAGGGTACGGGTACGGCCAGAGTGCACTCAGATTCAGATTCTGAAAACAAGCGCGAGAAATAAACAGTGTAGTCTAAGCAGGTTGCCTGCTTTTTCTCGCGCTTTGTTTTCTGAGTCTGAATCTGAATCTGAATCAGGAGTGTAATCTGGCCGTTCCCCTGCGACTACACTGTTTATTTCTCGCGCTTGTTTTCGAAATCTGAATCTGAATCTGAGTGCACTCTGGCCGCACCCGTACCCTTCGACTACACTGTTTATTTCTCGCGCTTGTTTTCGGAATCTGAATCTGAATCTGAGTGCACTCTGGCCGCACCCTACGGCCAGAGTGCACTCAGATTCAGATTCAGACTCAGAAAACAAGCGCGAGAAATATACAGTGTAGTTTAAGCAGGTTGCTTTTCTCGCGCTTGTTTTCTGAGTCTGAATCTGAATCTGAGTGCACTCTGGCCGTACCCATATATACGGATTTGTCCGTATCCATACGGAATTTCAACACTTAAACCGGATAGTAACAGCATACGGAATTATGGGGAAAATGCAAACAGTGGTGTCAATTCTGACACGATTCTCTAAATCTAAACTGAAAGGAGATGTCCTGTATTGGGCTATAGTTACTAACTTGCATATATTAAATGTAATTAATGAGAGGGCCCTAACTAGGTAACTTATTTCTGTAAGTCACTTAATTTTCGAGATTACCGTTTTTTAGAAATTCGTACTTTAGTTTCATGAAAATGCAATTACGTTTAACGGCATAATGACACATTTTCTTGCAAAAAATGATCAACAATAAAATAAAAAATCTAAGAATACACATATTTGAATAAAATAACGTAATATTCTTTATTTTGAGAAGTTTTAACTGCCGAAGTCTAGGGAGTTAGGCACTGCAAGTTACTAAATTCATGTGATCTAAAGCCAGTAAAAAAAAAGTCAACTGACACATGACAAACAAGTCTTTACTTTACTGGGTGTCAGTGTCATCCGTCATAGGGTACGGGTACGGCCAGAGTGCACTCAGATTCAGATTCAGACTCAGAAAACAAGCGCGAGAAATAAACAGTGTAGTTAAAGCAGGGTGGCCATAGTGGCCGCAGGCAACCTGCTTAAACTACACTGTCTGAATCTGAATCTGAATCTAAGGGTGCGGCCAGAGTGCACTCAGATTCAGATTCAGATTCTGAAAACAAGCGCGAGAAATAAACAGTGTAGTCGAAGGGTACGGCCAGAGTGCACTCATGATTCAGATTCAGACTCAGAAAACAAAGCGCGAGAAAAAGCAGGCAACCTGCTTAGACTACACTGTTTATTTCTCGTACTTGTTTTCGGAATCTGAATCTGAATCTGAGTGCACTCTGGCCGCACCCTAAGTGCACTCTGGCCGTACCCGTACCCTAAGTTTTGAATTTAATAAACTACGCTTTGGCCACAGATTAGTACAAAAACATGTTTATAGTGCTGCCAATAGTAAAATTTTCTTTTATCAAAGTAATACGTTTTATTTATTTAAAAATAATTGGGAATGGCTAAAATAATTTGTGCATTGGTTTTATACTTCATATTTTTATGGCTTTTAATTAAATGTAGTTTGGTGTTCGTTAGTTAACTCTTATAACAAAAAACCAAGCTCCTTGTTAAAAGAGGACATCTCCTTTGACAACACTATATCCTTGTCATTCTCTATACAGAATGAAAAGGAGAGACTGATGTTAAATTTAGTTTTAAGTTTAGAGAATCACGCCAGAATTGGCACCAGTGTATCCTTGTCATACTCTATATGGAATGAAAAGGAAAGATTGATGTTAAATTTAGTTTTAAGTTTAGAGAATTACGTAGTTTATTAATATTTATCATGGAGCACCCCCACTAGAGTCCGCATCACACAAATTTTGTTTGGAATCAAAATCGCCAAAGTCGGTGGGGTGCAGGGAGGTCAGCCCCGCTGTGATTGGACGTGTCAAGGTCAGATCATATACTCAGTGCAGCGAAGTGATGAGGGTAAGATCGATTTTAGAAAATATCGACATTTTCTATCGATAAACAATTTAGAATAGAGGCCTAGTACTTTGGTCCGCGAGTGTAAGCAAATGCGTAATCATACCCTCTCCACTTTCTTCCAGCCCGACTAGTAACTACATACTAAATTATATATAAGCAACACAAAAAAAAAACACGCCCAGGACAAGAAGTACTAATGCAACGAACTACTAACTAACTATTATTAACTACCCTAGATACAACAACACGAACAAAATCGTGGCCGAAACTTGTCCAAAAGGTACATTGGACGATCCACGGAGGTCCGTAAGATGAATGAATGAATGAATGAATGAATGAATGAATGATCACTTTATTGTACACCATGATTTTTTAAATTACAATTAATTAAAACTATTACATAATAGTACAAACGGCGGCCTTATCGCTTAGAAGCAATTTCTTCCAGGCAACCGTATGTTAACTGGACTGTTACATAAAGAGTGGGAAGTAGATGGTGTCATTCAAAGTGCAACTACCATTAATAACACTTATAAATAATTATGTACAACAAAAAATAAAATAAAATACAAATACATAAACATAATACATCTATTTATAAAGACACTAACACTTCAATCATATTTTGGATGATGTGACGACCTGCTAAAATGTCAAGTAATGTTCTTTTAACATTCTTTTAAAACAAGCTAATGTTTTAGCACCTCTGATTGCTTCTGGCAAGGCATTCCACAAACGAGCAGCCTGAACTACAAATGACTTGTCCATAAATTTCGTGGAGTGCATTTGCATCTCGAGTGTTAAGTTTTCTGACGATCTCAAAACACGAGCATGTGTATCATGCAGGAAATTAAAACGGGCCTTGAGATAATATGGAGTAAAGGGATTAAACAATATACTGTAAAGAAGGGAAAGGATATGCATGTTCCGGCGAAGGCGAATTGGCAACCACTTGAGCTTAGTGCGGAAATCGGATACATGATCATATTTGCGCAAGCCAAATATGAACCTAATACAAAAATTTTGAAGCCGCTCAAGTTTATTCAGTTGCTCCTCGGTTAGGTCTAGATAGCTGACATCGGCATAGTCCAAGATTGGTAGGAGAAGAGATTCTGCAAGCGCAGTTTTAGTAGCAATTGGAAGAAAATTACGTAACCTTTTCAAGGAACCAGCTGCAGCAAACATTTTACGGCTTGCTTCCTGTACTTGAGATGCCCAAGTAAGGTTTTTGTCTATTATAACCCCCAAATTTTTTACTTGGTTACTAGGTGACAAAGTATTACCATCGAATTTAATCGTTGGTAAACGTGCCCAGTCGATTTTATTGGTCATTGCGGGGCTGCCAATTAAAATAACCTGAGTCTTCAGCGGATTGACTTTTATGCCGTAAGACTTGCTCCATTCACAAATAAGTTCCAGATCGCGGTTGACTGTGGTAATTGCAGAGAATAGCTGATCAGGTGAAGCATGATAATAGATTTGCAAATCATCTGCATAAAGGTGATAGGATGAAACTAGTTTGGATGAAATGGAATTGATAAATATAGCAAAAAGTAATGGAGATAA